CCTCCTCCTCTCAGCTTCTTGGCTCAAACGCACACACCCTCAAGTGGACTTTACCTGGGCTATGTCGCAATCTACCACCTCCGATCTTGTCTCTACAATTGTGACGCAACTCAACATCGTTATCGTTGCACTCCGTTTACTGGTTGAGATGATTCAGAATCCGGATTCTACCTCTCCTGTGGCTATGAGTCCTGGCTCTTGCCCTTCCAGACCACATGCTAGTCCGGCATCACAGCCATTTCGTACGACCATGCTGCCTTCGATCAACTGGGCACCTTGTGAACAGCCGGAACTTTCAGTGCCCTGTCAGACTCCATCGCCGACATTGACCACATCAGCCAGGAAGCACACATCTCCCCACCCCCCCTCTTCCCCCTTTTCCGCTCCCCTCCCTTCTCCTTTCACCCTTCCTTCCTCTCCCATCCCTTCCCCTTCCATCCGGGCCGCCGAGGAGACCGTTCCCTCTTCCCCTCCACCACTGTCCTTTCCTCCTTCACCCATTCTCTCCCCTCCTGACTTCGCTTACCCACCCCCCTCCTCTTTGGCCCCTCCTCCTCCCCCTTCCCCTTCCCCCTCCTGCTCTCTTGTGTCCTCTGCCCCCCGGCCCCCTTCCCTCTCGTCCTCGCAAGCGCCGCCCTCCCCCCTCCTCTCCCTCACCTTCTCCATCCCCTCGACACCACTCAGCCACTTCTTGGGATGATGATTGGAGCACCAAAGATGATGACCTTCTTCTCAGCCTCAAATGCAATGAAAGACTTCGACCCAGTTGGCGCTACATCACTACCAAAATGGAGCGCCCAGAGTCCCAGATCCGCGCTCGTTGGGCTGAACTTCTTGAACTACAACGGCGGGCTACATCATAATCTTCACCTCGGACGTTTACCCCACTTTTTCGTCGATTGGAAAATGACCGCTGCCGCGTCCTATTGATATTTGCCGATCTATCCTTATCCCTTTCTTTCCTTTCTTTTGCCCTTTCTCCTTTCTTTTATTACACGTCTACACCTCGACGCAGCCTCTTGGCCCAAGTTTCGTCTCACTGCTTTCCACTGCGATTTTCAAGCTTCAGATGTCCACACCATCTACGACAGCTATCAAACGCTCTCGACCATCTATGGCCTCCCACCTCCGGGACTCAGACGAACCTATCCTCATCTCTACCAACTTTCCCAAGAAAGCTCGTCCGACAACACCTCCTACCTCACTGAGGACCACTTTTACCCCTCTACATTCCTCGAGCTCGAGTACACCTTCAGTGACTCACTCTCGTGGGAGTCATGCCGACCGACCTTTGGTAGGACTACTTGTCAAGCTCAACGGTGAGGAGATACCTTTTCTGATTCCCCGGCCAAATCGACCTTTTCGTTTGCCTGAGGCTACACCTTAATTCACTCCAATTCGCCACTTCGACCCAATGCTTCCTGGAAAATAATGGTTGACCCACTTGGATTACTGCGTCACTTGCTTCTCACTTTCATTGCCAATCCCCCTCCAGTACTTGATTTACTTCACTTCTCACCTCTCCCGCAGCTTTTCGGTTCTATTTCGATACGCTTCTTACCTGACTTGATCGGCGCTATGGAACTTCAACCCGAAGATGTTCGTGTCCCTTCAGAAGAGTCCTCTCCGACGCACGTTCCTCCCGATGACCTACCCCCTCAGCAAGAACAACTGGACCCTGCTCTTTTGTCAAGCATCCCTCGCTCTGAGAATCAGTACAACGAGGACTTCACCGACTACGCTCGTCAAGTCCACAATTCAACTCACGGTGATTGGCCCGTGGCTGAACCATATGAGGAATGGACCTGTCGACGATCCCACACTCAACGCTACTGGTTCTATCGCGCTTGGTTCCACCACAAAACTCTGCCTTGGGATCACGATGACATTGCATTTTACAAATCTGCAACTGGGTATTTCATCGATGATCACCCAGCTTCTCATTGGCCACATACTTTCTCACGCATTTGGGGCACCCGGGGCTGGCAATTAGTGCTTTCAGCCACTCAGAGTTTTGACATTTGGACACAATGCGAGCGATATGATGCCGCTCTTCGTATTGAAGAGGAACGCATTGCAGCTGAAGAAGCACGTTTCTCTTCCACCCAGCAACTCGAGGACAACCCTGTTCCTCGCAGAGGCCTCAAGAGACAGGCTGTGGACAACTTGGAGCACCTCAACGTTCAGTACCAGGTGGAAGCTCTTCTACACAATTTCCAGCATCTTGACGTTTCTAGGTTCCAATGCTCCAGGGCCTACCCGCCCCGCAACAAGAACAGCTTATCACTGGTGTCGTCCACACCCTCACTACTTACCGCGATGAGCTTCATCAATCTTTTCGACCAGATGATCCACCTGGCCATTCCATCGCGGCCTCTTCGGCTCCTCCTGACCACCTTCCTCACACTGATCCCATTCGTGATGGCACCGGACTTCCGCTTCCTGTACCCGATTCAGCATCTATGTCATTGAACTCCACATCGACTGAATCTCAGAACACTTTAGAGCCTCCATTTCCTTTGGAACGTTCTCATGATTGACAACAGCCTGAGCTCTACATCGTTTCCCTACACTTCAAACCCTCTTCGCATTGGTGTGAAAAGATCCTCCTCACTTTCTCGCTTGGTTTTCTTTGGGTGTTCACTCGGGATTGTCACGGATTCTTCGGTTTTCTACCTCCAATCCGTTTGCTCCACATTTCCTGCTATTCTTTTCTGCAGCCATCGGCTCCGACTCACCTCCGCGCCTGTCTCTATCATGATTTCATCCCCTGGGCTTCGTGTACCTGAACCTTTGACACACACGATTCCCACATCTCGCACGTCATGGAGCGAAGTTCGTCAACCCTTTGAAACACTGGATATGGTGCCGGACCTCTCCACGGTCCGCTTTGAATTGGATGTCAGCTTACTCGTCTACCAACCCCTGAACTACATCCATGTGACCTTAGATCGTCGACAGATCGACACCAAGGAATACACTGTTGACGATCTCAAAGATGTGATCTACTCCCACTTAGGCCAACATCGAACCGCATTCTGGATGGCTCTCCCTTCAACTGGCGATTCAAGAGTATGGGAAGTTCCACACACCTGCACCCTTGAAGACCTTGTCCTTTACTTCATCAACTCTCGACGGGTACGTCCACTGGGCCTTTCTGCTGAATATCCCCGTGAATCCGTCCCCTTTCCTTACCGACCTCTCCACACGGTCGCTCCCCGTCTTCATGATGATGCCATCGGTCAACTTCGACTCCCACTGACCGCCTACCAGACCTACCGTGAGATCCGTCAGTTCTCCTAGTCTCACCTTACCTTCGGCATGGAGCTTAAAATCTTGCCTCCCTTCGGGGAGGCGTGTGTGTGTCACCCTTGGAGTCATAGGGATGCTTTTGCATTTGTTTTGTTTTACAGCAGGGGATGCCAGGGACCGTGCAAGTCTGGCACTAACAAAGACGCTTGCACCGGTCTGTGAAATCAATCCGGGACGCCGGATTGACGTACCTGCTTTGAGATGAACCTACGTAAATGCAAAGCTGTCTCATTCTTTGTTGTGCAGTAATTGTCTAGTGCTGACCTCACCGTCGTTGAGCTTTGGAGACCTTGGCTTTCGGTCTTTCCTGAAACTTTTGGGCCTTCCGCTGGACGAACCTTTTCTTCCTTTTAGGTTTCCCTTCTTCCTTTTAGGTTTCCTTACCTGTACTCTTAGGAACTGGAACCCTAGGCCGGCGTGTGGCACCGCATTCAGTTGCGTACACAATATCTCAAGTGTGTGTGCTCCGATGGGTGTTTCCGCTTGGCTTTTGGAGGAAGTCTGGTACGAAACGCTCGTTTTGCAGACTTTGACATGTGAGTTTTTGAGGAAGTCTCGTACGAAACGCTCGTTTTGGAGACTGTACGCATGGCTTTTGGAGGACGTCTCGTACGAAACGCTTGTAGTGCGTGGGCAGACCGTGTGGCGAAAATTACGTTCGTGATGTCGCAGTGCCATTGGGATTTGCGCAGCCTTGGTGGGAAGTGTGTTTGCGTGGCGCCGTGCCTCTGGGGAGCGCGAAACATGCTGGTGTGTAAACGCGGCGTGTCGCTGGTG